AACTGCTCACATCAGAGATAATCATGAAAAATGACAAATGGTACAAATCAATTGGTTATTAAAATAATATTGTGGTAAGTGCCCAAACCAGTGCATTAAGTATGTATACTGAGCAAAGTGGGTTTATTGAGTCTAACCAGTGCTTACGGAGACCATCAAGGTATAGGAGGTCAAGCCTTTTAGGGTTGTATTTGGAGATACAGAACAACAGGGTTGTCATCATTTCTGGTCTTGATTTTTATGTCAGTGCAGTCGCAGAAGAATTTGCAAATTTGGAGACCAAACAATGACACAAAATGGAGCAGGGCATTGAAATGAAACACACTCAGGAAAAATATATATCAAATAACATGTAACATATTTGATTTAGATATAAAGGTTGTGAAAATAAAAACAGCACACAAAATATTTGAATATTCAAATGACACATAATGGGGTAAATTATCTCTTGTTGCAAAAAAAAGTAAAAAGTGACGTGACGTGTGGCCAAGTATGGTTACCCATACTAGGAATTAGTGCTCTGCATTTAACCCATCCTAAGTGCACACACACAGCAGTGAACACACACACACCGTGAACACACACCCGGAGCAGTGGGCAGCCATTTATGCTGCGGCGCCCGGGGAGCAGTTGGGGGTTCGGTGCCTTGCTCAAGGGCACCTCAGTCGTGGTATTGAAGGTGGGAGAGAGCGCTGTACGTTCACTCCCCCCACCTACAATCCCTGCCGGTACGAGACTCGAACCCACAACCTTTGGGTTACGAGTCCGACTCTCTAACCATTAGGCCACAACTTCCAAACATTTATTATGATAAATACGTCTAAATTTGCTATACTATGATGAAAGTAGCACACTACCAAATTTTTACATCTCAGACTTTGGGAACACGGTTTTGATCATGCAACTGTAATCTTGTATGGGATTGGAGAAAAACATGCTGAACTGGCGTAATATTGATGTCCAGTCATGTTACTAGTAGCACTGTACAAAACTGTGTAGAAACACAGAAAGTGAAATTACGGCAAAATTCTCAGGATGTAAAGTGAACTTCAGGCTATTCTAACAGGTTGAAACCGTTAAATCACAAAATTGGATGTACAAAACAGGACATTAATTTGCTGAGGTACAACTTCATCTGCATGTATGGACATGAGGACGTGCCTCTTTCTGCGGTGAGGATGAAAATGTAGGGACACACGCTGGATTATAGAAGGAATCTATACATGAGGCTTTCTATACGTGGCCAAACATCAGCAGCTGAGCCACCACAAGCAGTCTTTCAGTTTCTCTCACCTATTCTACTGTTTACACAAAACCACACGAGCCCCACAGCTCCAGACCGGTTCAATGTATCTACTCAGCAATTGGAAACTGAACCTCTCTGACCAATTTCCCCCAGAATATACAAACATAAGGAATCTAAAACACGGGTGGAAGTCAATACGGCAAAGGAACGCTTTGTATGATTTTCCAAAGGTGACATTTCTATAACATTTTCCTTTTATTTATTACTCCCACAAATTGAGTGGCTTGGAAAACAGCTCATTTCTTACGCCAGACCTTTGCTTTCTATCCGGAACAGAGGAACCGACAGAGAAATAAACAGCAAGGAAAAAAAAAAAAGACTTTTGATCACACCAAGTAACACTGGAGACATATAAAAATAACTTAGATGAACTGTGTAAATATAAATAAAAAAGACAACATTCTTAATAAATAATTCTATTATTTACAACATTGTATATAGCTAAGAGATTTAAATTACTAATACTGAATAAGTAAGCAGCAAACATTACAGGCATGAGGTACAGCAAAAAAAAAAAGATCCTGTTAAGTTTACAGTAGACTGTTTCACCAAACTTCATTTGATTTGATCTTGTTTTTCATGGCTTCAGAAGAAAAAGGTAATGTTGCGTTAGAATGCATTCAGCTTTTTAAAAAAACATTTCTAGGAAAAAAAAGACAGAAAAGGTTGATCACTGTTTGTGTACAACACCCCAGTAAAGAACTGTATGTACTGTAAAGCTCAGTAATAGTCCATTTTCAGTGATGTCTGAAACCGCTCGTGATACTGGTTCATAAGATTGCACATATATTGGTATTTGTTGTAGGCACTCTTTCCAAGTGATAATTGAATAAAAGCAGCAGTATTTTAGCATTTACTATGCAATAATAGCATACAGTTTAATACTAGGAACAAAGATGTCTATAGAGACTAAATATGACATGATGTTTACATCGAAAGAAATGAGGACAGAGCTGCTTGTGTACATGAATAAATAAGTCATCAGTGACTGTCACGACCTACTCTGTCATCTCACTGTTGCCATGTCTCTCGCAGGTCCGATTTTTTCCCTTTGGATATCCTTTGATTATCGGACTACACACATCTCTCTTTTATACTCGCTGTTTCAACCAAAGGTAGTGAAAAGAGAAGAACATAACAACACACAGAATAAAGTACTATTCAATGATGTCATACACGAAACGACTATTTAATTGAACAATTATGATAACCTGTCTGACCATAGCAGCTTTTTTTTATGGTAAACTTTTTTCTTTCTTTTTTTCTATTTCATCAACAAAACAACTGTACAAAGACAAGTGCAGCAACTGTGGTCAAAGATAAAAATATTGATTGACAGAGATACAGTTGAACAAAACCAGCAGATATAAATATACACACAAGGCCCTTCCTACCTTAAACTCTTCTGAAAAAAGAGAATATTCAACGTTAGACCTTAATGCCATAGAAATATCCTCTTATCATCGGCTGGGCTGATACAACCTGTGATGTTGGGATATCCTGGTTTGATAAGTAGCTTCGCTTCTGCTATCACAACAGTTGTTGTTGTTTCTATGTTACGTTGCTAATGTAATGAGAAAGGTGTCATTTAGATGTATTTGTGCGAGCTCAGGGAGATTGTGAGGGTGGCTGATAAATGCTTCTAAGATATTTTTATGTTCCTTAGATGTTCTATACTTTCTAAAAGTGGTTTGTATGCCAATGTGTAGATATTAAACGATAATGTGTTTAATGGGGTCATACTGACCGCCATTAACTACCACACCACCATAGACTATACTCTCCAGTTTTACACTGGTGTACATATAAATATAAATCTTAACAATGCCTGTTATTACACTAACTACAAAATAGCATAATTGCTATTGTGTTGAACTTCAAGCCAGTTGTTACATACACTGCTGTTATGCGCTAATGTTACTGTTAGTTATTTTTTCACAAAAATAATGAGCACCACAAAAAGATATTTCTATTACAAAATGCCAGATGAAAATGGACTGCAAAGCCTGAAATTATTTCATGTTTTCTACACAGTTTAACTGTGTAGAAAACTTTTCTTTACAAATATAATGCTACATTAGATTGAACCTTGATGCTAAATGCTTATTATATTCACAATGAAGCCTAAATTACATTCTTTGTGTCAATATTTAACTCACTTTTCTTAGAATTTGGCATTACTTTTGAATGGATACATGGTTCCTAATAAAATATGTTATTGTCCCGAATGCCCTTCAGCTGTTCTTCATCAAGCAAACGCTGACTGACTGTCCATTTTATTTGAATTATTAATTGTGTCTGGGATATGCTGTGTCAGTGTGTATATAATTGTATTTCTCTTTTAGTCAATCATCTCAGTGGCTATTGAGTCTCTAATAGGGCTATCAATCTATTAAAATGATTAATCTCATAATCAATCTAATCTGTTTCATAGTTCTAATGCACAGCATTAACACATTCAGTTCCATGAAATATGTGTATTTGAGCTTGGCAATTGATGTGGATGATATGTCTATATATGACACCAGACAGAGCTAAATTTTTACTCGTTTCAAAAAGAGATTCTGTAGTCAATCTAATTATTAATAATAATCATATTTGTGACCCTGAACCACAAAACCAGTCATAAGGGTCAATTTTTCGAAATTGAGATTTATACGTCATCTGAAAGCTGAATAAATAAGCTTTCCATTGATGTATTGTTTGTTAGGATAGGACAATATTTGGCCGAGATACAACTATTTGAAAATCTGGAATCTGAGGGTGCAAAAAAATCAAAATATCATGGAACATGATCTTTACTTAATATCCTAATGATTTTTGGCATAAAAGAAAAATCTATAATTTTGACCCATACAATGTATTTTTGGCTATTGCTACAAATATACCCCAGCGACTTATGACTGGTTTTGTGGTCCAGGGTCACATTTATCAAACTGCACCAAACACGCAGGCAGGAAATACGTCCCATCAGGGATTGATTTATAAATAAATTATCCATGAAGAACATCTTTCTTCATTTACTGATAGCAACACGGGTGCGCGATCCATTTCAATTAGCTCCGAATGTTCAGCTCAGATCAGTTTTTAGAAAATCACACAGAACAGAATGAAACCATTATGTCAATTAGTGTGTGAACTTTGACAGCCCAAGGGTCTATACTTTTTTCTGCAGAGGGGAACCTGTTGGCATATCTACACATATAAAGCTGTTTGCGTGTATACAAATGTATGTATTCCTGTAAAGTTGATATAACTGCAGTTTGACCAGAGGTAAAATCTATGGCAGACTGCACTTACATTAAACTACAAACTGTCCATAGACAGAATTGGCTGCATGGCCACAGCAGCAAAACTAGCAGCAACAGCTGTGCTAACACAGCTTCTTTCACAAGCTCTCTCTCTCTGGATGTAACTCACTGGATCAATACCTCCTCTGATGATTTTTCGGCATCAGATTTGTGCATTTCTTGCTCATATACAGGATTTTGTGATTTAGGGCCACAGCAGCTGCACTCGTACATCTTCCTATGCACTGTGAAACATTCCCATCATCCCTCGATGTTTCATACAGGCGCTGAGGTTGTCAGCCAGATTTTTTTTTTTCGTAGTGAGTACGAGCAGCTCAAACATTCAGAGGAGTGCAAGTCATTTGTGTGACACAAATTTGGATTTGATATTAAGGTTCATTTGTATGTATTTCCTCTTTGATATCTGAAATGATAAATATAAGAACACGGAGAACACTCGATATGAGAGGACACAGCGTATGGCTAAACTGTCATCGAGACAGTCTCAGAGGTCAGGTGTTAAGGGGCACTGTGAAAGCATCAGAGGTCCTCTCATTCATCTATTTGCTTTAGTTTGGAGGTCTTGATTTGAATCGATTGGAATCATCCCATTTTCTGACTACAGTCAAACATTAACAGCTGCATTTTTTCCTTTCCTCCCTTATTCCTCTGGCTCTACATAAAAACAACATTGCCATGGTTGCGCTTTACAAATAATGATCAATGAAAGCAAACATAAAACAACAAAACTGTCAGCCCAGGCTTGTTTGAGCTTTAGTTTGATGACATCTATGGATGCTATTGCCATAAGTCATTCATAAATCTTCCCCTTCTTGTCCTTTGCGAAACCTGTTGTTGATGTGTTTGGTTGGTTGTTTGTTTTTGAGTGTCATACCCTCTTAGATTGTTGCTGTTTGATGAGGAAACGAAGGCATGTTGGAGTGCGGTGTGAGTGGAAAGGCCCTCTTATAAGCAGCATGTAGAGAAGAATGGTTTCCCAGCAGGCCCCCTGGGTGCCACAGGGGGTACCAAGCTCAGCCAATGGACCTGTGGCGGACTCCTTTGTTGTTCTCCTGGGCGTCGGGGTCTCGACATGCACAGTCTTCTCGAATGTCACATGACATAGGGAATGGAATCACCTGGCACAAACAAAATATCAAAGTGGGTTGAGTCCAAGAGCTTTAGGGGATCACATTCACCATAATACAGAAAAAGTTTTTAAATCACTGTTTGTCAGTGAAAACAACTCCATGTATCCACACGTATCCACAGAATGGAACACATTTTTGAGAATCTGATCCACACCTGCACCTCTAGTATACATGAACCATTAACAATGCAACAGTATGCTCATCCCAGCTTGTTTTTACTTTTGATGTCAAACAGAAAGAGGTATCTTTTCAGTCCCTGTGAGCTATACTGTTTGTGTGCACTGATAGATCAGTGTGAGCGCACTTGGAGGCGTGCGAGTGCAGAGTGAAAAAAAGAGGGAATGCAAGAGCGTATATGTGTACAGAGTAACAAGGAATCTCTTGTGTTCGAAGCGTTGAGGGAAGGAATGCCCTCTCTTTGCCCTGTGAAATACACAGGCCTTTCCTTTTGGTGTCCCCATCCACTGTAGGGGATTTTCCCAACTGTAAATCTAGTCCATTCATAGTGCCCACAAACTCTGGCTGACAACATTCCCTCCATTGCCACACTCCTCATTACAACCGACCAACACTTCTCCAGTTGTTAAGTGTGCGTGTGTATGTGTGTCTTCAAAATGTTTTCGTTGCCCTCAGCCATCCCTGAATTGTTTCCAGGGAAAACAAACAAAACACTGCAAAAAAAAAATAAAATACTGTGCATTTTTTCAAGTTAAAAACAACTGCAAAAGTGAACAATTCATCAAAACTGAGTTGTAGCTACAATTAGGTATCTACAGAGATATTGTAGTTAACTAATTACTGTAATTAGTTAGATATTGTAATTAACTAAAACCATGAAAAAAAACATTAACTGAAATGAAATGAAATAAATAAATAAATATTCAGCATGATATTATAAAGAACATTTTTTTTTTTTGCAAAAAAGGAAAAATCTTTTATATTGTTATTGTACCAAAGCCAAATGGATTGATTAAAATAATATCTGAAAAAAAACAAATATATATATTTTTTATGAAATTTTAATTTAATCTATTTTCCTTTTTACAATTTCTTTTTCTTCTAAAATTGAAATATTAAGCAAGAATAATATTAATTCCAACTATCTGTAGCACAAACAGTGCAGGTTGAGTTACCCACACAAAGTTTAATACTCAAGGTATTAGAGCATGAATTTGTTCAGCTACAATTAATATGTTGTTTGCTTCCAAATAAATGACCTCCTTTTAATGTGCAGTTCATGCCACTGAGACCACGACATCTGGATAGTATAAATATCAGCATTTCACAAGATTCAGACAAACTCTGACATGAAAGAAGTGAGGTTGAGAAGTCTGCAGGAAGCTCTTGACAGTAAGCTGAGCTGTCAGTGCACTTTTCCTCCAGCAAACCCTGCAACCGCTGAATGTTCTCACAACATCTGACCTTTTCTGTATTGATGTCATTGGGATGGTGGTAGAGGAACTGTGATTTCTCCAGTAGCCTCAGTAGTAATAAAAGAAGATTTGAACAATTGCCCACAAAATGATTTGATACTGTTTGTTTGACCACATAAAAATGAAGTTTAGTGGTTCTCAACTGGTTTTGCTTCAAAACTCAAATTTTGCACTGAACATCAAGTGGCAACCCAACACAGTACCAAGACTGTTTGAGACACAAAAGTAAGCAGAATATGTCCTTAAAAACAAACACTATAATATACTCATACTCAGCTGCACATTGTCTTTATAGTTTAAATATTTGGTTTGTAAATGTCTCTTGAAATTCGACAGTAGCCAATAATTTACTGCACAAACAAACCATTTTTAGCAAGTTAATGTACTCGGCATTTGGGTTGGACGCACCAGTTGAGATCCTACAACTGACCTACAACAATTTTCCATATTACTCCTCTGAGCTCTCTACACAACTTAAGGCAATGTAGTTTCATGCATAGGGTGCAATTCCATGTTTAAGTTATATTGGGGCACGATTTAGATCTGCGTTCAACGGAAATCTGGAGGACTTTGCTAGAAAATTGTTTAGCGTCACCATTAAACACATCAACTGGAAGCAAATTTAGTTCTGCCGTCATGACCTCAGCTCTAAAATGGAAGACCTCATCATTACAAGGCACGGATTCAAATCCTGGTCATCCTCAAGTCCAACAAACTAATAGGATGCTTTGTGTCAATGTTGCTTTTCTGTCTGCTCGTAGCACGTCAGAGGCCCGGGTTAGTTTTTCCTAATTGTATAGAGAATGGCAAGTGATAAGTCAGACAATCAGCGCTTTAGTCAGTGTGTTCCTCCCTGCCCGCGTTTAATTACAGACGGGGATACACACGGTCTTTGTATTGCTTATCTGGGACCGAAACATGCACAGGCAGCTCTCAAAGGAGCTGACTGTGTGCATTGTGAGCTGCTGCTGCTGCTGCCGCTGTACACGCTCCGCTCCCGCCTGGCGCTCTTTGAGGAGGGTGCACAGGCTCACGATCCTTGCAGTTCTGGTCCCGCGGCTGCCGAGGCAGAGCGGCGATTGAGATTGTGGGGATCCCAGATGGATCTAGTGGAGGGGTTGCAGATGGGCATGGCCCTTTCTGTGCACTCACTCTCTAGATCCAGTGCTCACTCTCAGGGTTCGGAAGCACGCTCTGCGGTTTCTTCCCCCTGGAGTGAGAGTATGTTGCTTCGCCTCTCTTCCTCTGAGGAGGTCGATGTGGAGAGCATCGAACAGGATGAGGCTAGGAACTCGTCACCCCAGTCCATCCAGCATGAGGAGCTGTTAGATGTGGTGACTCGTGCTGTGGCTAAATAAAAAAAAAGATTGGCTGGCTGAGAGGCAGGAAGATCGTCCTAAAAGCAAGCTAGACGAATGCTTCCTACGTTCTAAGTCACCTCCTCCACGTCGGAGCCTTCCTTTCTTCTCTGATCTGCACACTGAGGATTTGAGATCATGGGAAAGACCTTATTCAGCCCATCTTTTCAGCCCTAATGTCAGTAATTATTCTAACATCTCGGGGCTGAGAGAACATGGCTATGGGATGATGCCCCAGATTGAACAGACGCTTGTTAGTTATCTGTCCCCAGGGTCAGCATCGTCCCTGAAGGCTCCGGCGTTGCCCACCAGGCCTTTAAAGACAACATCGGCCTGGGTGGATAAAGCTTTTATGGTGGCAGGGCAGGCTTGTGCTTGTCTGCACACCATGGCAGTGTTGCAGGCATACCAGTGTAAGATTATTGATGCCATTTGGCTGGTTCAGAAGAAGGTCACAGTCTGAAAAAACAAGGAACTCTCACGAGAATCAACATCTGAACTCTGTCTCGCAAGCCTAAAGCAATACACCCAACTGAGAGAAACAAAAGCTCCACACCTTCACTCTTCCCCTCTCTCCCCTCATTTCCATCTGAACACAGGACACTGCAGAGATCACCAAAACCACTTTTCTTAATCAGAGTTTGCCTCATCATTACAAGGCACGGATTCAAATCCTGGTCATCCTCAAGTCCAACAAACTAATAGGATGCTTTGTGTCAATGTTGCTTTTCTGTCTGCTCGTAGCACGTCAGAGGCCCGGGTTAGTTTTTCCTAATTGCTCTGTGGGGCTTATGAGGGCAGTTATTCGCTATTGATGGTGCATTTGGGAGGAAAAGACCTTGGCTGACAAGAGCTCTGACAAATACAAGCAATGTATACTGTGAGTTGTTGGAACACTGGATTGAAAAACATACAGTCCTTCCAAAGAAACAATGAAAACAGCCCACGAAGACCACCAAAAATGACACAAGTACACAGAGCTCCAGTGGAAGCCACCAAATTCTGTTTACTAAATCCAATAAAGCATCAAATGGGGGGGAGGAATCAAAACATAATTTCAGTGCTGTCTGTTATGACCTGATATGACCCTGATCTACAGTAAGTGTCTTCTTTCAAGTCATTGTGGAAGATTATATCTTTGCGGCTCCCACAAAAAGAAGGAACAAAAAGCACATTCAAAAGTACAAGAAGTCATAAGAAAATGACAAATTTAGCACACAATGAACAAGGTTTATTGCTTAAAATATATATACTGGGAGGTTGAAATATTATTCCTACAAATGCTACTGACCAGTCATACCTTGGCAACTATAACTGTCATTTTCTCAGACAAGCTGAACTTGGCTCTTTCTTAATGTACACAACTGTTCAAACGTTTGGGGCTGGTAAGTTTTTTTTTAATTTTTTTTAATAGAAGTCTCATACTTATATAGGCTGCATTTATTTGATCAAAAATACTGTAAAAACAGTTATACTGTGAAATTTAAATACATTTTAACATATTTAAAAATATAATTTATCCCTGTGATGGCAACGCTGAATTTCTCCAGTCTTCAGTGTCACATGATCCTTCAGAAATCATTCTAATATGATGATTTGCTGCTCAAGAAACATTCCTCATTATAATCAATGTTGAAAACACTTGTGCTGCTTAATGTGATACATTTCTTTCAGGATTCTTTGATGAATATAAAGTTCAAAAGAAGAACGTTTATGTGAAATAGCAATCTTTTGTAAAATTATCCTTTTGATCATTTTAATGCATCCTTGCTGAATCAAAGTATTAAAAACCCCAAACATTTTAACAGTAGTGTAAGTTTATGTGAGTTTGGGTAGTTTTAGGGCATTTTAACTTATTCAAACTAATTCATTTGAGCACTGGGGTCACTTGCAGACAGTTCCTTTTCTGGTTCATTTCAGCCAAACTAGGTTCATTTGAAGTGAAAGCATCCTTAAGCACAATTTTATGGAAACTATACAAAAATACAGCACCTAACACACCCAATGAGGATAAAGCCATTATTGTTTTGCTTTTTAAATTTTTATCTTAAATTCATGCTAATTAACTTTGTGTCAGCCTCATTGCCAAATGAAGAATATCAGTGCAAACACTTATTTCCGATCCAAGGGAAACATCAACATATTTATGTTATACTCAAGATCATTGTAGTGTGGATAGTAATTAGTTCACAGTACCATACTGAATGTATTGTAGACACGTTAGGAACAGTTCTGTTTACTTACAGTAATCCCTTTCAAATGAGTCTTGTCTCTTTTCAGTTGACTGTGAGAAGTGTTTGCCTCAATTCTAATTTGAAAACTCTACAGTTTAATCATTTGCTTGCATAGTTGAACGTTTTTTTTTTTTAATTCAGATGAAAAATATTTTGCCATGTCGCAATTCATTCCTGCATTTAATTAGTACATTTTACTAAAAATCAAGAAATCTCTAAAAAGCTTGTCTGAGGTGGAGCTCAGCACAGGGTCAATTGGGTGGACGTGATAGCCATTACATAATGAAAGCATTTACATTATTACTCCCTAAAACTCCTTAAAATTACACGACAAATATGAAAATTAAGCATTTATTGGCTTCTCTAAATACAAAAATTACACTGGGCAGATGCACTTGTGGTGGAGCAACTTAATCAATTATTTGCTTTTGGCAGCAACCTTTCAGAATTCATAAAGACTACTGTAAAACTTTCTTTTGTTCTCAACTTACAAAGAAAGTCAAATTCCTTATTTACAGCCACTTATTAGCACAATTCAGGACAACGAATCGGTCAGCAGCTCAGCCTGAGAGGTGGAGGATGTGCAGTTAGTTTTATTATTTGCATGGGTAATCCTCTGGTAATCCTCAGTTTATACGTTTCTATATGATTTACAGCTGCATTTAAATGCTAAGAGTACAGTTCCAACTGCCGTTTCTAGACCTTTCACAACAAGTTGTGTATTCTGCCGGGAAATGCGTCATCACACATGCCAACTTTTTTTTGCTTTGGCACCACGCACGAGTAGAGCCGTCCAGTGTGCTTCCAGAGTTCGCTGTTGTAACTTTGGAGAAGTTACTTCATTCTTTGTCTGTCAAAAGAGAAGTTCACTTTCTCTGGCAGCCAGGAAAACTTGCTCAAGGAAAAAGCAAGGGAGGATCAAGTGAAAGAGGATGACAAGTCCATTGGAAAAAGAACAGTACACAAGCGTGCAGAAGAAGCCTTTCTAGGGCTATTTACCACCCTCGGGATTAAACTCTCGGATCTTTCTCTTTGTTGGAAAGTGAGGTGAACGTCCATATGGAAATGCTATATGCAACCATTTGTTGCCATGGCTTTGGAAAAACACCCAAACATATATGTGCGTGCTTCATCTACAATGTCTACAATGCATTGTGGATAGGGTTCAGAGAGTTTCCCCTCCCCGCTTTTGTGGGTGTCCTTAAGTTCCTCTCCGAGGAGATAATTATTACAACGCAAGATGTTTTACCCTGTCTGAATCTGTAGTAACTAAGCAAATTATGTGATTTACAGCTTTTTACTCCGTTTATTTACCAGCTCTTGAAGCGTAAACAAGGAATTCAACTGATTAAACATCTAAAAAATAAAAAACCTACCTTTTTGGTTTTAACAGTAGAATGGCAGCAGTCTCCTCCATCATAGTTGCAGAACGCTCGGTTGTTGATGGCGTCGCAGTAATTATCACCCATGAACGGCTGGTGAAAAACAGACAAAACTGCTCTGTAACATGAAATTACTAAATATATAAACACAAATAACATCAGCAATACACTGTCAAATAATAACGTGTTCCCCCATAAACTCCATCAATAAATTCATATAAAACCAGAAAGCAAGAAATAAAGAGACAGCCATTCACCCTGTGTACATCCACAACTGTGTAAAAATAGACACACAGACTTGAGTCTGTTGCAATTATGTTGCCCTGGAAAAATTGAGTTAGTATTCCCGGGCTTGTAGATGGTGGAGGCCACTTTTAATGGGGAAACCGAAGCCCTATTAAACTTATATGTGTCTCCCTTGGGAGTTATTACACATTTTCATCTTGACAGGCACTAAAGGTTGCCCAACACACCTGTGACCTTTTCCAGTTTGAAATCATCTCTCTGGCTCGACCCAAAAGCTTTCAGAGGGCTGCTAATTACCACCCATTGAAACTGGGTCAGGATGAGTTGGGTTCAAAAGTCTGCTGCTCTGGCCCGAATAAAAAATGGACTGGTCATCTCGCTGCCACAGCAAGACTCGTTATAAAGGAGAGAGAGGTGCAGATTAATCGCACTTTCAGGATAGCAGTGCAGTGTCTTTGGCAACTTTCAAAGAGCAACATACAGTATATGTGAAAATATCAGTTCAGTCTTTTTAGTGGCAAATGATTTTTCAACAGCTCTTTCTGCAAGAAGACACAGTAGCTGTTTTTTTTTATTCTCACTCTGTGATTTGAGGAAGTTGGGAACATGATACCCTCTAAATGAGGTTTCCAGGTTCGTCTAAAACGCAAAAAGAAAACAAATTGCCCTTAAAAACAAAGGTGGTAACAAACCCTACTTGTCTGCTTTTGTTGGCCCTGTTAAACCTGACTCAGATTAGGCTAGACTGGTCCAAAGAGCAAAGGAGAGGAAGACACTAAGCACAGCATGTTTATTTATGTATTAGACTTCAAAGAGCGTGAGAAGATGGCAGAAACAACTGTTCAAGGTCAAGCTCCAGAGAACAGACCTCCGTGACTGTATAGAGATTAAAGCTATGGCTGGGAGATTACCTTGAAGCGACTATCAGGGGCATAATGTTGTTATCATGCAAACTTACAATGGGAGAATGGTGAACAGACAATTATCTGAATAATAAAAATAAATGAATCAAAAATAATTTAAAACAAACAAATAAATAAAATGAAGTGAAATAATAGATAAATACAAATGTAATATTTTATAAAATAAATGATTTTCAACAAATAAAAAGCAGATAAATAAATTAATATATAAATATAATAAAAAACAAATAAAAAATGTAATTATTTAAAAATAAATAAATAATAAAATTTAATTATAAATAAAGAG